GTCTTTGAATCTTTGGTTTTGGGTTTTTTGTTGTTGTTTTTTTTTTTTTTTTAAGTAATCTACACACCCACCTGAGGGCTCGAACTCACAGCCCTGAGACCAAGAGCTGAATGCTCCACCAGCTGAGCCAGCCAAGTGCTCCAAGTATTTGTAATCTTTCCAAGTCAGGTTGACGGTCAGTTAGTGAAAAATACGTAACATAACCTGTAAGTTCACTTAGCCAGACACATATGAAATTGCAAAACCTTGTAATGTGGTGAAACTCGTAGCGGGAGGGAACATGCCAGTTGTTAACTCCCCCTGTACTTTGTGGTGCTTTTCTCTCCTTAGGCTAGCTTCTTTAGCCTCAGGGGAGCCACTGATAATCCAAATACGAAATATTATTATAACTTTATATACTATATAAATATATAAGCTGTATTTTTTGGACAAAATAATATAAATAGAAGTTCTAGTATTTTCTGTGCACTTTCCAGTGGGCCATTTTGTGCAGTCACTAAGTTGTGCACGTAGACCACTTTGGGACACAGTTCCACAACTAAGTTTCTTACAACTTGTTTTCCTTATTAACATTATTATAACATTATTGTTATTATTATAACATTCACTTCTTATTGAGATCATCAAATATCTCCATGCTGCTAAAATTCATGTACTTTTTTTTTTTCAGTTCATTTTTACTTGACCATTCATCATCTTTAGTTCAGTTTATCGTTTCCTGGTTTTCCTTCTGCTGCAAGTGGCTCAACTATTGACCCATTTAGTTGCTCATTCAGAATCCACAGATCATTCCTAAAGTATTTTTCTACTTTTCTAACTGCCTCCTGACTTCACAGTTCAGTCACCAAGACTTGTTAATCCTAAATTCTTTTTATTGCTTTTCTACCATTACTGAGGCATCTCCTTGAAGCCATCAGATCTTTCAGTTCTGCAGACCCCTTTGGGTCTTTTCATAACCTCATTTCTCCACTCTGCAGCTGGGATATTCTGAAAACACAAATCTGATCCTTTTACTCCCTCACTTAAGTATCTTTAATAGCTTCCCATTACAATGGAAAGAGACCAAAAAGATCCAAGTGCTTACCGACTCAGCTTCATCCTCAGCTTTCTCTCTCCTCTTCTTCCCGGTTCTCTGTACCCTTGACACCCTCATATTCTCTCTGACCGTTTATAATTTGCTGAGCATGTCCCCCCTGACACACACACTCCCCAGCTACCGACATGCTGTTCCTTCTGATAGGAATGGTTTTTTCCCTTTCCTGTTTATTAGCCTTTTCTCATCCTTTATAATTTACCACAAATGTCATTTTTTCGCGGAGTTCCAAGTTTGGAATCCCTGTTGTACAATGTCCTTATCCTCTGTATTTTCCTTATAACTTTCTTACGCCTGTGAATAAATTGTCTAACTTAGCACTATATCCCCAGTATCTAGCACATAATAAAGGCTCATTAAATATTTGAGTAAGTGAATATTGTACCAGTATCTGTTTCTTCATCCATAGACTACTTTGTGAGGATAATATCCTTGACTGTTTTGGTCTCCATTATTTTTCCAGTATGTAACACACACACACACACGCACGTTTACGCACAAATATTTATTGACTTAATATGGTAAGTTTTGTCATTATTTGTTTGATGCCTTTCCTTCCCTTAGACCATAAAGTGATGGTGTCTGTCTTGTACACCTATCCCCAGTGCTTTAAAAAGTGCCTGACATTAAATGGAGTATTTGATAATGGTTTTTATTTTTAAACTTAATCTGACTATGGCCACCTTTTATTTTTATTTTTTAAATTGTTTTTATTGTTTGTTTATTTTTGAGAGAGAGATTGCGAGAGCACAGCAGGGGATGGTCAGAGAGAGAGGGGGAGACAGAGGATCTGAAGCAGGCTCCGCACTGATAGCAGAGAGCCTGATGTGGGGCTGGAACTTACGAACTGAACTGTGAGATCTTGACCGAAGCCAAAGTCAGACACTTAACCAACTGAGCCACCTAGACACCTAGACACCTCTTGGCTACCTTTTAATATATACGTACAACCCATTCATATTTAAGATAACTGCTAATATGTTGGAATTTTTTTCTGATACCTTATTTTGTGTTGCCTGTGTCCTTGCTTTTTTTCCCATTTCTGTTTTACATTGAGAACATTTTCTTCCATTATTTTCTCTTTAAAAGTTAGAAAGTTAGGGGCGCCTGGGTGGCTTAGTCGGTTGAGCGTCCAACTTTCGCTTAGGTCATGATCTCGTGGTTCTTGGGTTCGAGCCCCGCGTCGGGCTCTGTGCTGACTGCCAGCTCAGAGCCTGGAGCCTGTTTCACAGTCTGTGACTCCCTCTCTCTCTGACCCTCCCCTGCTCACGCTGTCTCTCTCTCTCCTAGAAATAAATAAAAAATATTAAAAAATAAAATAAAATAAAAGTTAGAAAGTTAAATATCTTTTTGTTTTTCTATTACTGCACTTAAATTTTTAATGCAAATATTTACTTTTACATATATATATGTACATATATATATATATATATATATTTTTTTTTACCAATATCTTATAACAAGACAGGAACCTCAGAAAGATTTTACTTTTTTCTGCTCCCTTCCCTGCTGTCTTCTTTATGAGAAGATTTGAGATCTTTTTTGAACAGCAGTTCAATTATTATTTATAATAATCAGAACTTAGGTTTCAGTATTTTTTTAACTTGTCCCTGCTTCTTTTATCTCATTTCCTACTGGGTCATCTCTTTATTTACTTTGATGATATTATATTTTGAGGGGAAAATAGCTTCACTAAGAATTCTTTTAGCTAAGATTTGGGAATGATACACTTTCTACACTGTTACATATCAGAAAACATATTTCTTATGCCCTTCTGTGTGATTAGTTTGGGTATGAATCCTGTTTCCTGGTCATTGTCCCTCAGAATTTCTTTTTGTTTTTAATGTTTTTTTATTTGTTTTTGAGAGCAAGCGAGAGAGAGAGAATGAGAGAAGGAATCCCAAGTAGTCTCTGTGCTGTCAGCACAGATCCCAACACGGGGCCCACACAGGACTCAGTCTCAAAAACTGTGAGATCATGACCTGAGTCAAAATCAAGAGTTGGAGGCATACCGACTGAGCCACCCAGGTGTACCCCCTCAGAATTTTTTTTAAGTTTATTTATTTATTTGGGGGGGGCATAGCAGGAGGGGCAAGGGGAGAGAGCGAGAGAGAGAGAGAGAGAGAGAGAGAGAGAGAATATCCCAAGTAGGTTCCACGCTGTCAGTGTGGAGCCCATCGTGGGGCTTGAACTCACGAACCATGAAATCATGACCTGAGTTGAAACCAAGAGTTGGACGCTTAACCAAGTGAGCCACCCAGGTGCCCCAACCGCTCAGAATTTCAAAGATTTTACTTCATTGTTTCTAATGAGATGTTTGATTCATTAAAGCATTTTAGGATTTTGTTCTTACTGTTACAAAATGTCCCTATTATATGTCTAGTTTTATCCGTCCATTCATCCTGGCTCTTTTCTTCAACTGTGAGACTGTCAGAAATTGATTTCCATTATTTCTTGAAGAGTTTCTCTTCTGCACTTTTTCTGTTCTTCTCTCTAGACTTCTCTTAACTGTATTTAGGAACTTTTGGATTTATCCTCAATGTCTGTTGTTATTTTGGGGGGGGGGAGGGGTCTTTTTTTTTTCGCCACATTCTCAGTCTTCTAATTGATCACTCTTTAGCTATGTTTATTCTACTGTTTGACACCATCTGTACTTTCTTGTTTCAGTGTTCAAAATTTTAATTTCCAGGATCCATAGTTGTCTTTTGCTGAATACAGTATACTCTCAAATCTCTGAGATAGACTTTTTTTTATAGTCTTTTTCTGTATTTGCTGCCATGGCTACAGGGTTAGTTCTTCTGATGTTGATTCTTGTTGTATCTTCTCAATGGTATGGGGTGTTGCAGATCAAGTGAGACAGAGTTCCCGCAAGCCTGCCTGTGACTACAGCATCTGCTTCTAGCAATTGTAGGGAGGGGTAGCACATGCTGCAAGGTGGGCTGTACCAGAAATAGCTGTTCTGAGCTTGGAAGTGTCTCTTTCCTTTTGGGCATCTAAGCATTCTCCCTCATTGCTCAGAGGTGCAGTTCTTTGTTGATAAGGAGCAGTGGGGGTGGGGTGGGGGAAATATCCAGCTGTTCCTCCTGCAGAGCTTAGCCAGTGTTCCTAATGCTCGCTTCAGGGCCCTTCTTTGGCTCTGGATCCAGTGGCTCCTCTGCCCTTGGGATTATTTTGAGAACATTTCTTAGTTTGTGTAACCACTCTTTTGCGGGGGCGAGGGACATATTGCCATGGTTTTTCCTTTCATCCATTTGTGTCTCTTTTCCCTGTTCAGGAATTTTGCAAAATTCCTGACCCCTTGAGAGTACTCCTCTGTTAATGCCATATAGAGTTTTATTTAAAAATTATGTTACTGGACACCTCGGTGGCTCATTCAGTTAAGCATCTGACTCTTGGTTTCAGCTCAGGTTGTGATCTCACAGTTCATGAGTTTGAGCCCAACATTGGGCTCTGCACTGAAAGTGCAAAGACTGCTTGGGATTTTTGCTCCTGTGTGTGTTCTCTCTCTCTCTCTCTCTCTCTCTCTCTCTCAGAAAATAAACATTAAATTTTTTTTCCAAAATGATGATACTTACAGGGATTTGAAGTGGAAACGCTGGCATTCAGGTGCATTGTCAGAACACTGTGTTGATCCAAACTTTTAATCAAGAATTTTGCATATCCTTGTTTAAATGTATGCTCAATGATAAAATATATTCAGAGGGGGAAAAAAATACATATCTTAGATTGTGACACAAATACGGGTATGTCCTAAAACAAATTTTATAAAAATTTTGAGCATAGTTATATATTTTAGTGAATTCATACATTCCTCTTTATCTGTGAAATCATAGAACCAGTGTTTTCTGTTATGTGTTATCTTTGTAGCATATAAAGAAAAGCTAACTTCAGTGTTTTTTTCTATTAGGTTACCACTGATTCAGTCATTCTAAAAGTTCTGCGGTCCAACATTCAGCATGTGCTGGTCTATGAGAACCTTAAGCTCCAGGAAAAAGCACTGGCTTGTATTCCAGTCCAAGAACTAAAAAGGAGATCTCAAGAAAAATTATCTAGAGCTAGAAAATTGGATAAAGGTAGTGGCTTTATATAACTGTTCATTGCTAAATGTACATCATTGATAACTAGAAATACTGAAATATGATGCCTTTTGCTGTGTACACCATAACATTCTAACTTCTTTCTATGTTGATGTTTAAGAAGTTAAAACAGTAGTAAAACTTACTGCACATACCTCATGGACACATCTATTAACACTTTTTTTTTTAACCTCAGTATGTATTTGCAGTTTAATCACTGGTATATGAATTTTTCTAGGTATAGTAGAACTTTAGTCTGTGGAACAGATGATAGCAGTATTAGTGAATTTTAATGTGAATCACACAGAAAACACATTCAGGATTAATCTATATGATCAGACCATTGACTCTCTTTGATTAATAAAGAAATGGTATTTACTGGTTGAGAGTATGAATCTTGAAGCCGACTGCCCTGGAAGAGATTCAGCTCTGTCACAATAGTGCATTGCTGAGCCACTCATTTAATCTCTAGGCCTCAATTTCTTCACTTGAAAGTAGAGTGAATTTTAAAAATAAATGAATGAGATGGAACATGTAAATGGCTCAGAATGGTACCTACCACACTCACCAGCCAATAATTATTTGTGTGTTATCATTAATGGTTTTAGGATTTTTGTTATTAAATGTTTCCAACATCAGCATTTTTACTTTGGATTTTTATGTAATTAGCTTTTATCTAAGTCATTTCTTAATACTGTTTCTAGGGGATTGTGTAAATTTTTTGTTTAGTGTCAGTAAGCAGTTTTAGCTAATCTAAGTCCACCTTCAAAAACAGTATTCTTCATGTATAGTACAGATACCTTTTAAAAGAATTGTCCCAGTTCTTCCCCCCCCGTCCTTATGACATTGCTCTCTTGTACTGCAGTCACCCAACAATACATTGCTGCTGCTATTAGACAAGTTACTTTTTAGGCCACAGATAAGAGCAACACAAGATTCTCTTTTACCTTCATGTATTACTTTTCTGACACTTCCTTTCTGTTGATCAGAGTTTCTGAACTATACCTTTTTCCTTCTTCCTGCAGAACTTCTTTTCATATTTCTTTCAGGACAGCTCTGTCAGAGGTGAATTCCCTCACTTTTTCATTGCCCGAGGAAGCCTTTATTTCTTCTTCCCTCTTGAAGGATAGTAACACTGGGATATAGAATTGTAGGTTGGTGAGGCTTTTCTTTCAACAACACTTCATTCATTCCAGTCTTCTTGCCTGCATTGTTGGTGACCAGAGAGGGGTCCGTTGTGACTCCATCCTTGTTCCTGGACAGTTAAGGTCCCCCCACACCTGCCAGATCACTTCTCATTCCCAGCTTTATTCAAGACTTTCTCTTTGCCTTTGGTTTTCTGCACTTTCACCAGGACAGGACTAAGTACAGCTTCTTGTTTGGTGTTTTTTGAGCTTCCTAGATCTGTGGTTTGGAATCTCATTAATTTTGGAAAATTCTTGGTCATTATCGCTTCAGATAGTTATTTTGTTTCTCTCTCCCTCTTCCTTGTGGTATTCTAAAATGAAAGTATTCTGCTTTACCTTCAGCTGTCTCTTCCTCAGTTTCCCGGAGTTCTTAGTGCTCTGGTCCATTTTGAGATTCTCCTGTAGTTCTTGGGTGTCCTGTGCCCATTTTCTTCTTTTTTTTTTTCCTTTTTTTTTTTGCCTTTATTCATTTTTTCCTCTTTATTTTTAGTTTGGGAAGCTTCTGTTACCCTGTCTGCAAGCTCACTGTCCTTTATGCCTTATCTACTCATGAGCCCCTGAAAGGCATTCTTAAGTGTTCGTTTCCTGTAGATTTTTTTCAAAGTTTCTAAAGAGCAACAAAAAATCCATTTACATTATTCTTACATGTCTACTTTTTTCATGAGACCTAATATATTCATCATATTTTAAATGTGTTGTCTGTTAATTCCGGAATCTGTGCCCTATCTGAGTAGATACTTGCTTTATCTCTCCAGACTGTTTTTCCTTGCCTTCTGGCACACCTTCTGTTTTTTGTTGGAAGTTGGATGTGACGTATTGGGTCATAGGAGCTGAGGTGAATCAACCTTTCATGTGAGGTTTCATGTCCATTCAGTGAGGAGTTGGGCAAGGGGTAATGTTTCCTGTCCATGTCAGAGCTTCCGATTTCCTCTGGTGTTCTCACATCTCCCCTCTGGGCTTTGTGCTCTGCTGAGAACTTCTTAGGGTCTGTATCGTTCAGTGTAAGCCCTTGTCCTTACGCTGGAGCCTTGTTGGTGTAGTGCACGGGGAGGAGAAACCCTCTGTCAATTTATCATTAAATCTCAGTTAGGTTTTAGTGGGCTTGTGTCCTCAGCCCTGTGACCTTCCCAAGTCTTCTTAACTTTCCCCTCATAGGCGAGATGAGATGGCTAGGGCCAGGGCACTCCCCTTTCCCCACTTCAGAAAAGGCTCTGGTAAAATCTTTTCCCCTGAAGAATAGGCCTTAATTGTAGAGAATAATCTGGGCATAATTTAAAACAAATCTTTTTAATGTTTTATTTATTTCTGAGAGAGAGAGAGAGAGAGACAGTATGAGCAGGGGAGGGTCAGAGAGAGAGGGAGACACAGAATCTGAAGCCGGCTCCAGGCTCTGAGCTGGCTGTCAGCACAGAGCCCGACACAGGGCTCAAACTCATGAACCGTGAGATCATGACCTGAGCCGAAGTTGGACGGTTAACTGACTGAGCCACCCAGGTGCCCCCATACTTTATAATTCTTAATCTTCTCCTCTCCTTCCCAGAGCCATGAAGGGACTTTTTTTTTTTTTTGAGAGCGCACACACATGTGCAAGCAGGGAAGGGGTGGAGAGGGAGAGGGAGAGAATCCCAAGCAGGTTCCACGCTGCACCATCAGTGCAGAGCCCAACATGGGGCTTGATGTCACAACTGTGAGCTCATGACTTAAGCTGAAATCAAGAGTCAGTTGCTTAACCGACTGAGCCACCCAGATGCCCCTCTTTTTTGGTTCTTTACCAAGAAAACCTGATGGGATTCTTGGAGGGAAAACCCTCCTAAGATTGTGTTTCTTACTCAAGCTAGTCCATATTCAGCCTCCAGCAGTTTGTCAAGATTATCATTTAAGTGTTTCTACCAATTTATGACTCCTATGGCTTATTTTCCATATAGCAGATGCTGGTTGTAATGCTCTGTATTTGTCTGTTTCTCCAGATTTCAGGGTGACAGTTTGCCTGGTGAACTCTTTTGAGCTCAAGAAAAGTCAGTGATTTTGGTTTATTCAGTTTTTTATTGTTGTAACAATGAGAATGACAACTCTAAGCTCTTTACATCTGAGAGCTAAAACCAGAAGTCTCTCAGAGGGATTAACTGTGTGTCTCTTTTCCTTTTTAAGTCACTTAATCACTTCTTACATATATCATGTAGATACTTTGCTGCCCATTGTATTTTGGTAGTTTTGGCTTTATTGTAATATTACACTGTGTTATTTCCTTGTATTTGATGACCTGTCTGTGCCTTAGTCTAAATTCAGCAACATTATTTTAAGAGCTTGAGACAGTTCCTCATCTTAGAATAATAGGTTTTTACTATTTAGGAAATAAGAATGCTTGTTAATATGTGATCACAAAGACCCTGTCCACATTAAAGTACTGTGCTCCTTAAGGTGATACCTGACACAAATGCCTAGCTAATGGGTACAAGCTGAAGCATGTTTTGTGTGTGTCACTGGGCTAAGCCCCATGGTGGGGAGACAGCAGTGTCCCTGCTGATGTTTGCCTAGCATTTTTTCCCTCTACTTATAAAGGTAATATATAGCTTTTTTTTTTTTAAGAAGATTTGGAAAATAGGAGTAAGATACGGCATCTAAAGCTTCATTTCATCAGAATATGACCTCTAAGACTTGTCTATATATCCTTTCACACTTAAATAAATCAAAAAAGTAAAAGTCCTGTTCCTTAGTTACTAATGTACTAATGAGTACATGAACACATATTAAGTGCTCGTTAACCACAGGTGATTTGTGGCAGCCCTGTTGGACAATGGATATGAATTATTTGCATGATTGCTGAAAGTTCTGTTGGGTGGTGCTGTTCTACAAAAACAGGCTACTGGAAGAGTAAGAGTAATAAATGGGAGAATCAAATATATAATTAAATAAGTGGTATAATAGGCATAATGAATGTATCATTTCAGGTTAAGGTGGGTTGTTAGTTGACCCCAGTGGCTTAAGATTTATTTTCTCATGTAAGAAATTATTGAGGTAGGCAGTCTGATGCTACTGGTAAGCTCTGAGACACTATCAGAGCCTAGGTTCCTTTGGCATACATGGTTTCCACTGTGTAAGTTACGCCTCCTAGTCCAAGGTGACTGCTAAAGCTCTAGCCATTGTATCTGCAGACCCTGCATCAGGAAGAAGAAAAGGAGAGAAGACCACAGGTACCTATAAGCTGAGCCTGTTCTCTTGAAGCAGCCTTCCTTGGAATTGCACACAAAGCTTTGTCGTTTGGCCTCACTTAGCTGCCAGGGCGGCTGGGACCTGTAGTCTTTATAGCTAATGTGTTGCCATCCTTAGTAAGTTAGAATTCTGTAAATAAAGTATTGGCACATGGATATTGTACGGCAACGAGCCCCTTTGGCACTGAAATGATGACAAAGCTTCCTTTGTCCAGGTTGGCAATTTCCTTTCATTGTGTGTTGTTGGTTTTTGTTTTCTATTTTCCATTTCCTCCTCAAATTAAATCTTCTGGGTTTCTGAACTAGAAAAAATGTTCTGGTTTGAAGCAGAAGTGAGAACCTTGGAACCCTGACCACTGAGATACCTTTAGAGATAGTTGATCAGAGAAGTGTGATTTCATAGCTCTGGCTTGGAAGGCTGAAGAGGTGTCATGATTGAGTGTTCCAAATACAGATGAAACACCTTTTTCGAAGAGGAAGAACCCTACCATTTTAAAAAGTGAAACAAAATATATGTTGCCCTACTAAATACAATATGAAGATGTGGGAGGAAAAATGTTGAATATTAAGGGGTGTCCATATCTAAGGATGAGGCTACCTG